GCCGCGCAATTGGATATGTGATGTCTCGCGCCCAGAAACGGCCATGTTTCTAGGTTGTAAATGGCAATAGACAATATGGGCGCAGTTCGGCGACGGGGGGCATTTTGCACTTTGCTACTTCCCATCGACGTGTCGACCTATCTAGACAGCCTCTTCTCGAGTTGACAGGTTTTACCATGATGGCTTGACGACCTTGCTCCAGCTTCACAAGAGTTCACAGGTTTCGCCAGAGACTTGTAAACCGGAACTAGGGAAACAAGGATAGTACAAAATGCCCCCCGTCGCTGAACTTCGCCGACAATTTGTAAGCTCAATTCAATCAGTTTCAATCTCGCCGAAAACAACCATAAATGTAAGCATTGTCTTGCATCGTCTCCCGTCTACTCCCCCTTCCCCCAAAGTCAACGGTGAAATGTAGGCGAAAATTATTATAAGAGCGTAGATAGAATGTGAAAGGAGATCGTACAGAAGAAGAAAATTTGAGGATGCCTTACTTAGCAAGAATTCCCCACAACGCAGTGATCAACATTGACTGCGATAAAAACATAAAACTGGATTGAAGGGTAGTATAAAGAAGACGATAAAGCTGATCACGAGCCCATTGCACTCATTGGGCACACACGGAAGCACTCAAGCGGCTGATTTCCCACGACGAAGTGCTCGACGGGAGGGTCAATTGCAAACCAACTCAACTGACCGCTAGCGCGGTACTTTCAGGGCTAAAAACAAACGCCCCGCTAAGAGCAAACAACTACAAGCTCTTCGATCTCTCACGACACCACGACACACAGTTGCTATCGTATTTCATTGCTACAACACTTCTACAAATCCCTTTTAGTGCTTTATAGACTGCAGTTACATCTAAATATACAGCTATTTCCGCGTCATCAATCGATATTTCGAGGAGCGAAAACGCGAGAGCGACTATGTACAATCTGAACGAGAGAAAAAAAATGAACAGGACACGTCGCGCGTTGGGGAATCTCCAGCGGGGGGAAGCCGTCTTGGGTCGCTGGGGGAGGAGAGTCGTATTCGGTCCGAGAAAAGTTTTTTGATAGTTGTTGCTCCTTGCTTCACGGGCACTATTCACGTCGTTGGAAGAATTCTAAGGTTTGGGGGAGGTGGGGGGTGGAGGCGGCAGGGCTGTAGTTGCTCGCCCGGGAGAGGGGTGGGGAGTCCTGTTTCCCTCAGGGAGAAATTTGCTCCGTTGAGGAATTTTCTGGTTGCTGACTTTCCGCAGTTTTTCCCGTTTCACAAGCACTGTACCCCTCCCCCCCCCCCCACTTCTCCAACGGCAGAACTTTAGGGGAAAAAGCGGAAAGTGAAAAATCTCCAAGAAATTTCGGAATCTGTGGTAGGATGTAGGGAGAACAGGGAAATAAGAAAACTGGTAGGTAGGATGGGGAGGTCATATGGGAGGAGGGAATTCGGGGAGGGGCGTCTTCGCAAAAATTTTCCCTAGCGGCAGAGCCTGCCTTGGTTGGGAATCCCCAACGAGAAGGAGGTCGTATCTGGCCGCTGCAGGGAGAGTGTCGTTTTTGAGAAAAATGCTTTCGCTTGTTGACCTTTCTTGATCTTTCCTGTTTCGTGGGCAAGCTTACCCATACACCCCTCCTGTTCGCAGCTGCTCTTTGGGTGAAAGCTGGGGAAAGTGGTAGGGAGCTGGAAGAACTTTGAGGGATGGTAGGTAGGATGGGGAAGGGATTTAATTCGTACTAGAGGAGGGAATTAGAAGTGGCGGGGGGGTCATATTCCGCAGAAACTAGCGTCAACGGCAAGACGTGCCTCGAAAATGAAACAACACAATAACGAAAACAAAGGAATGAAGTGAAAATAGCCATTTCTATTCAGTATGGGGCGATCTCTAGCCATTCATCAGTACTGAAATCCTACAAATCTAACAATACAGGAGATCTTATAAAACCTGTTGTACAACAATTACGGTATGAGGTGTGTGCTGAGGGAAAAATTGCCAAAGAAATACCTCGTATACAGCCAAACACTAAGAAAATCACCGAGAGCATGACAAAATGTGCAAAGGGCGCACCTTTCTCAAGGGGGCGTGGTTCATGGCTGAAAGGCGTGGCTTCTGCATTTCGCATTCTTGCCAGTTCATCGCACTTTTCCAGCACGGTCCGATCAACGGGTCAATACACACTAAAACGCCTCAAAAGAACTAGACCGCCGCGCCGCGGCCGCATGCGACTGAGGCCGATGATACACATGACGCTAAAGAAGTACGTCTACCAATAACGTTAAACCCAGTTCTCAAGGTAAAAGATATATGGCTTATGGAGTATGGTACCGTTATATGTGGGTGATACTATCGAAAAATGATCACAGAAACCAAATATACAAAAAAAACATGGAAACTAATTAATAGGTTCAGGTTACGGTATTTGAAACAAACCAAACAGATTATTAACAACAGTAGTAATACAACAACAAGAGGAGGGAGCGGGTCAATTTGGCACATTCTAATGCAGATAACCTTTATAGTTACGTATTCGATCCTGGGTTGGCTATTGAACCTGGGTTATGTCCCATACCAACTGAACCAACTGGTCCCACCGACACTGGACCACCCACTGAGCCTGGCATATAGCCGACTGATGCAGGCATTCCGGCCACATTTGCTGACGACACTCTGGAACAAGGAAATCCACATAGAACTAGCCTTGGAACGGTGGAAAACAGCACAGAAAAAGTGGAAAAAAAGAACTTCAAAGTAAAAACCCATCCAACAAAATCTGTACTAACTTGTCAAGACACTGGCGAATCGCTGGCCACAATGGGCACTCGCCCGTCCTTGCCGCTTCTTGTGAGCATGCCGACAAAATGGACGATAGCGCCTCATCTTCACTACCGTGCTGTTTGACAGTATTCCTATAAATCAATCATTTAACTCCTTCGAAGAAACCATCCTTTTTTGGGAAATTCCTAACGCGCTAAACCAACGGCGCTGGAGCTACAACATTTATGTCCACGCCTCAGCCTGCAGGACCATCGATGGACGCAGAGGAAAGATTGTCCATGATTTTTCTAGGGACTACTGAGAGGCTAATAAGTATTTTCTGCAACAGTTAGGGAATGGGGCGCGGGTCAAAAGATTCAAACAGCGGCAAGGCGAACAAAACGGGGTTACAGGTGGCGTCGCACGCCGGACATGTGAGTAAGCAGCGTTCAAACTTCGCGATGACGCGCGTCCACACGCCGCAAATGCAACAGCACTCCAATCCTATTGAGCGAACGCAGCTGCAGACGAGAATCGATCGGCGCCGTCCGCTTGTGTTTTGAGAGAGTACAGGTGCCGCCTTTACACAATCCGGCACTCTCTCGTTTTTGTATATTCTCTCAACCCTACCAGCCACAGCCGATCGATACCAGGCTGCGTGATAAGCATATACTCCTTATCCCCCCTCTCTCAACACATTAGCGGCCAACGCCGATCAACTTCCATCTGCGGTCGCGTTCGCGTTTACAGGACTGGAGCCTGTTGCAATTGTAGCGCGTTGACGCGCGTCATCGAGAAGTCTGAACGCTGCCGCATGGGCAGCAGCAAAGTAAACCGTGGTGTTGCCACGCATGCTCCTTAAAACCATCACCTATCAAGAGTTTTTTGAATATGAAAATAACTCACGTTTGCATGTTGTAAACAATCCGAAGCAAATGTTTCTCGATAGTTCGAGGTGACGTAGTTCGACTTGGACGGAAACATATCTAAAAAAGCCACAATTCTCGTAACAACTACAGTAACAACCGCGCTGATTTTATAAAAAAAACACCAACCAGCAGCAGAGCATTGACGTTATTCGCATCGAACACCGTTCCAAACTGATAACGACGAGCACTAGCGTTTGCTTGATCTCTTGCTAGACAAACCAGTTGAATAGATACATTCCAGTAAGTTGAAGGCGAAGGGTCCTAGACGCAACTCCATTTTTTTATATCCTTTAGACGACTGTTCCTTATTTCAAATCATGTAAAACAGAAAAAGGAAAATTATTTGACAATATGGCGCAGTTCGGCGAGGGGGGGGGGTGACAATAACGATTTTTCAGTAGGGCGCAAGTGGCTCACAAAAGAATTTAGGCGTGAGGTTGAATGCATTGCGATAGTCGGCTGCGGACTCACACCATATTTGACGCGCTCTACCTGGAAAACAGTTTCCAAGAACAGGCCGGATCTTAATCAGGTTATTCTCTACGTGGGCAGATTTGGATGAAAGTTGGGTTCTAGAGGTAATTGACCTCCTGAACTTGAACATCGCACCCACTTGGCCTGACCTAGGGTATTTTGGCGCTGGCGCTGAAGTAACCTAGGTTAC